TCTGACATTATTTCTTCAAATCGGTTTTCTAATTCTTCCTCCTCTTCTTGTCCTTCTGGCACCCCTATTATATGTATGTTGCTTCATTTTATCTTGTCCCAAAGCTCCCTCAGGCTCTCCTCCTGTCTTTTTTTTTTTTTTAATAATTTCATTATATATTTTATTTTTTTTATTTTTTTTTAATTTCTTTATTGATGAAGGTATCACACATTTGTCCTCGTCCCCCCACTCCCATCCCACACCCCTCCCCACACATGCCCCCACCCCCCCGCTGTCCCCAACCGCTGGTTAGGCTCATATGCCCGCACGCAAGTCCCTTGGTTGGTCTCCCCCCCACCCCACAAGGTGACAAAACAAGCCAGAGGAAAATCATTTGGGCAAAAATTGAAAAAGGATCCCCAGTCAAATTTATAGAAAATATTCCTTTATTAACCTTTGGTCGAGAATATGTTTGTATATTTTCAGAAAACAACTCCGAGACCATGTGGATTCCAGCAAGAGAGGAATCGACAGGACTACTCCAGCCATGAAGACAGAAGAGAAGCAGTCCAGAGACGGAAGACGCTGATGTGGCCTTCCCATACTAGCAGTTAGCAGCTGTGCATCACTGCAGATTGCCCAGGACCAAACCGGACAGAGTCGGACCTGCATTACCACCATTTGTCCACCATCCAGAACTGAAATGTCAGTGCTGACATGTACACATAAGGAACTGTTGGACATTGAAGTTGGGTCTCAAAAGAACTGTTGGTCCAGAAAGAAACTCACTACACACTGATTCATTTGCCTGTCACCATAACCATTATTGCTTGTCTCATTTTCGGTTCTTATAAGAGTATTTCTAATAGCACATGATCTCACTCATCTAAGGGAAATAATGAACAACATAGACTGATGAACAAGAACAGACCCAGAAACAAGGAGGCATGGATCAGACTGTCGGGCCTCAGGGGGAGGGTAGGGAAGGGTGGGGGTGAGGGGGGAAACCAACCAAGGGACTTGCGTGCGGGCATATGAGTCTCCTCCTGTCTTTTGATTTTTTTCTCCAATTTCAGTTCAGATTGGGTGTGTTTTGCTTCCCTGTCTTTTAATTTGCTAATTTCATCCTCTGCTCCTCCCAGTCTACTGTTGAAAGCTTCCATGGTGGTATTTATTGTAGCTATATCATTCTTTATTTCTTCTTGATTCTTACATAGGTTGTTGATTTTCTCATCCATCTAGTTTATGAATTGTAAGACCCATATGCTGATTTATTTTCTGACATATTACACCTCAGTTTCATTTAGTTCCTTTTCTGGCGATTCCTCCTTTTCTTTCCTTTGGGTTTGTTTTTTTTTTTTTTGTATCCCCATTTTGCTGTTTATTTCTGACCCTGGGCTACCTACTTGGTGTCCAAGGGGTTGAGGCCCCTCTCAGTCCATTGTTCCTGGATTCACTAGACCTGGGGGCTGGGTCTACCTTGAGTCTCACACCTTTATTGTCTCAGCTCTGAGTTGTACCCCCTTCTCCCATGGTTCTGGTCCCTCAATTATCCATTTCTTGGTGTTAGTAGGGTGTGCACCAGCCAAAGGCTCTGTCTGTGCTGGTGGCAGAGCACCCACCAGCTCAAGGCTCTGTTCCTGCTAGGTACATAGCACACATTAGGCTGTAGCTCTGTTTGTACCAGAGTGTGGTGCATCCCAGCCAAAGGGTCTGTCTGTGCTGGAAGCGGAGCCTGCTCTGTCTTTGTCAGGGAGTGGGGTGCTCTCCCAGCGGGGACTCTGTCTTCCGACAGAGCACACTCAGTCTATGCTGGGGGCTGGGCGCTTGCCCTGCAAGGGCTCTGCCTAGGCTGGTGGTGGAGTGCACTCAGTCTGTGCCAGAGGTGGGACACATGCCCTGCACTGACTCTGGCTAAGCTGGCAGTGGAATGCACTCAGTTTGTGCCAGGGGTGGGGTGCTCACCCTGTGATGGTTCTGCCTAAGCTGGCTGCAGAGTGAGCTCATTCTATGCAAGAGGTGGGCACTTGCCCTGTGAGGGCTCCACCTAGGCTGGCAGCAGAGCACAGTCAGTCTGTGGCAGGTGCAGGGCACTTTCCTGGCTAGGGCTCTGTCTGGGCTGGCGTGTAGTAGGTGTACCAGTTAATAATGTGGAATTTTTTCAACAGATGGAGTTACACATATGTTGATATATATATATGCGATTTGATATGTATGCTATTCTGTTGTATTGATAACAAGCTTCAAAACTTCATATGTCAAATTTTCTGAAGGTGTTAATATCATAGATATTTTTATGCTTAACCTTTTGCACTCGGATGTCGAGTGTGACTCGACACGGTTAGCATCGGTAGCAGCTCTTTTTATACTCTTTGAATGTATCAATAATTTGAAATATTAAAAAATCCAAATAAATAAGTTTGTATGAAAAGAAACTCCAGTTTTTTATTCTACTGCCGCGCTTTGTAAAATCTGGGGTATTTAAAAAATTAAATCCCGAGTAGAATAAAGGAATTGAGAAAAAAAGCAAGCGAGTGCAAAGGGTTAAAAATGTCGAATTTTGCCCTAACTGGTTTGGCTCAGTGGATAGAGCATCGGCCTGCGGACTCAAGGGTCCCAGGTTCGATTCCAGTCAAGGGCATGTACCTTGGTTGCGGGCACATCCCCAGTAGGGGGTGTGCAGAAGGCAGCTGATTGATGTTTCTCTCCATCGATGTTTCTAACTCTCTCTCCCTCTCCCTTCCTCTCTGTAAAAAAAATCAATAAAATATATATTTTTTAAAATGTCGAATTTCGTGCCAAAAAAAGAGAATTTGTGAGAAGTTTTAATTCATTACTTTATTTTGAAGAAAAAGTTATCGTATACTTTGGGAAGCCCTTATGGTGAACATGCTCCATATCAAGATACTTTTGAACGCTGGTTTGAAAGCTTTAAAGTGATGATTTCTATGTGAAAGACAAAGAACGTTCAGGTCAACTGAAAAAGTTTGAAGGCCAACAATTACAAGAATTATTGGATGAAAATGCTTGTCAAACTCAAAAACAACTTGCAGAAAGATTAGACATTGCTCAGCAAATAATTTCTGATCATTTACAAGCAATGGGAAAGATTTTAAAGGAAGGAAAATGGGTGCCACATCAACTGAATGAAAGACAAATGGAAAACCAAAATGTCATCAGTAAAATGTTGCTTCAATGGCATGAAAAAAAAAAGTCTTTTTTTGCATCGAATTGTGACTGGCGATGAAAAGTGGATTTATTTTTAGAATCCCAAATGCACAAAATCATGGGTTGATCCAGGTCAACCATCAACATTGACTGCAAGACCAAATCGCTTCGGAAAGAAGCGTTTGGTGGGATCAGGAAGGTGTGGTGTATTATGAGCTTCTAAAACCTGGTGAAACCATTAATACTGATCGCTACCGACAACAAATAACGAATTTGAACTACGCTTTGATCATGAAACGACCAGAATGTTCCAGAAGACATGGCAATGTAATTTTGCTTCATGATAACGCACCAACATACACTTCAAAACCAGTTAAAGACACGTTAAAAGATCTTGCCTGGGAAGTATTAACCCACCAGCTGTATTCACCAGACTTAGCTTGCTCAGATTACCACTTGTTCCAATCAATGGCACACACACTTTCTGAGAAGCACTTCAAAATGTACGAAGAAGTGGAAAATTGGGTCTCTGAATGGTTTGCCTCAAAACAAGAAAAGTTCTATTGGGATGGTATCCACAAATTACCTGAAAGATGTGGGAAATGTGTAGCTAGCGATGGACATTGCATTGAATAAAGCACTAGGTGTACCAGTTAATGATGTTTTGATGTTTCTCTTGAAATTATTTGTTTTCTTTTATTACAAAATCCGTCATTATTAACTGGTACACCTAGTAAAACACACCAGGCTGAGGTTGTGTATTGGGATCAAGGATGGAGCCGGGAGTGGAGTACCCATGGTTTCCACTCACAGCATGAGGACCTGAAGCGTGGGATCCTGGGATGCTAGGTTTGGGCTCCACTTAGGAGGCTCAACTCTGGAGGCCTGTCTGATGTGCTCTCACTGAACACATCTGGGACCCACGTCGCAGAGGCATGGTAGTGGTTCCACAGGGTTATGGCTGGCAAGCGGCGCCCTGCACAGGTCTGGGGGTGCTCTCCGTGGTCAGTCCAGATGTGTGGCAGCACTCCTGGCCTCCTTTGCTCCCCTCTACAAGATGGTGTGCTTTCCACGCCAAAGCCAATCCAGCATTGGGGTGCCTGCGGCAGTAGCAAGGGCTCCCTATCTAGGTGAGCTCTGTCTGCCAGTCCCTGGGACTCCTGAGGTATCGATCTGTCACTCACTTACCCCCCCCACACACACACACACCACACACATCCACACACGCTCTTCTTGGTTCTTTACTCTGTCACACTCTCTCCCCCCTGCAGTCCTGTCAGCCGCCATCTTCTCCATGTATTACTCTTGCTAGGGGAAAATATAGGCAAATCTTTATAGCATCTTGAGGTGAAGAAAGGCTATCAAGGAATAATGAATAGCAAAGGCAGACATGAAGAAGGATGGATTCATATATTTGATTACATAGAAAATAATTGCCTGACTCAGTACCTGCTACAACTTTGCTGATTTTTAGGGCTTAGCTGACTTATTCTTCAGTCAGCGGCCTTCATTGATGTTCCTTTTAAATTATATATCCTTCCCCATTTTCCTTTCACATAGCATCCTATTATTTACTCTTTAAAGTATTCATCACAACAATCATTATATATGTGTTTGTTAATATGTTCATTGCCTCCCTAGATACTTCCCTCTAGCAGACTCTATGTATCTTGAGATAAGGAACCATATTTGGTTTTTCACCATCCTTTTTAGCTATGTCATGCACAACACCTGCTATATAATAAGCATTTTGCACATTTTGCTGAATTATTTAATTTACTATAGTAAAATCTTACTTTATGAGTATGCTCAAGATTGTGTGCCAGAGGAGTTTGAGCATGCATTATTTGAGAGGCAGCATAGTGTAGTGGTAAAGAGTGTAGACTGTAGATCCATATATCTTGAGTTCAAAGCTGGGTTTTGCCCTTTACTAGCTATATAGCTTTTAAGCAAAGTAATTCACCTCACTCTCCCTTAATTTTCTCATCCATAAATTAGGGTTAATATTAATGATTTATATACAGGTCTGAAGATGGACATAGAAGAAGAAAAGGAAAATTTTTAAGAGGTAGAGTTAATGCCTCTTTTTTTAAAAAATATATTTTATTGATTTTTTACAGAGAGGAAGAGAGAGGGATAGAGAGTTAGAAACATCGATGAGAGAGAAACATCGATCAGCTGCCTCCTGCACATCCCCCACTGGGGATGTGCCCACAACCAAGGCACATGCCCTTGACCGGAATCGAACCTGGGACCCTTGAGTCCGCAGGCCGACGCTCTATCCACTGAGCCAAACCGGTTTCGGCAAGTTAATGCCTCTTAAACTCAGAAAATATACTTAAGGTTATTTTCTCTCTTTTGTCTATTGATTTTTATTGAATTTATTGGTGTTATATCCTCTTTAATAAAATGGTAATATGCAAATTAACCATCACTCTGCTACATAAGCCACGCCCACCAGCCAATCAGGGCAAGTATGCAAATTAACCACATCCAAGATGGCTACAGCCACAGAGAGCAAGGTTTCCCAGGTAACAGAGCAAGCCAAGCTTTCCATAGCCATTGCAGGCCTAAGCCTCCACTCAAGCTACAAAGTTTCAATTATAGAAGGTAAACAAATTCAAACAAATGGCGGCAGAATGGAGTTTGAGAGAGCAGGGTTGCCGGCGGCAGCAGGGGAAGCAAAGTTTTCCGCACACCCTGGCAGGGCTCACCCGCTTAAGGCTACAAAGTTTCAATTGTTGAAGGTGAATTAACTGCCACAGAAATGGCTGCCACCCGGAGGGAGCAGCAGGCTTGGCTCTGCTCCAGGCTACAAAGTTTCAATTGTAGAAGGAAAATAAATTCCAGATACCAGGACCTCCCCTTGGGTTGCCAGGGGGCGTGGTCGGCCTGCAAACCACCACAGGCCCCTCGCTCAGGCCACCCCACACCCCAAGGGAACCCCACCCTTATCTGGGACACCCTTCAGGGCAAACCAACTGGCCCCCACCCGTGCACCAGGCCTCTATCCTATCTAATAAAAGAGTAATATACAGATTGATCATCACTGCAACACACAATATAGCTGCCCCCATGTGGTCAAAGATCCTGCCCCTATGTGGACACAAGATGGCCACCACAAGATGGCCAGCAGGAGAGGGCAGTTGGGAGGCACCCGGCCTGCAAGGGAGGGCAGTTGTGAGGGACCAGGCCTGCAAGGGAGGGCAGTTGAGAGGGACCAGGCTTGCAAGGGAGGGCAGTTGGAGGTGATCAACCCTGCAGGAGAGGGCAGTTAGGGGTGACCAGGCTGGCAGAGGAGGGAAGTTGGGGGCAGACAGGCTGGCAGGGGAGCAGTTAAGCGTCAACCAGGCTGGCAGCGGAGTGGTTAGGGGGTGATCAGGCTGGCAGGCAGAAGCGGTTAGGGGCAATCAGGAAGGCAGGCAGGCAAGCAATTGGGAGCCAGCAGTCCTGGATTGTGAGAGGGATGTCCGACTGCCCGCTTAGGCCCGATCCCACCAGGATCGGGCCTAAACGGGCAGTCGGACATCCCTCCAGGAGTCCCAGATTGGAGAGGGTACAGGCTGGGCTGAGGGACAACCCCCCGCCGTGCACGAATTTCGTGCACCGGGCTTCTAGTTGTTTAATAATATTGTATAGGTTTTAATTGTACAATTGTGTAATACCTCATCTGTATTATAAATTGTATTATATTGTGTGTTCACCATTCAAAGTCTAGTCTCCTTCCATCACGATTTATCCCCCTTTCTTTTTAAAGTCCTGGATTTTTTCTTGTTTCATTCTGAGTGATATTGCATTGATGATTAAATTACCAACGGATGAATAAATGAATTCTTTTGATATTTGATAGAACATCTCATTGATCCTCTTTTAAAAAGAAGTTGGCTATTTTACCTATTTTTTTTCAGAGAATTATTATCATTCTCTCATGGTTCTGAAAACTTTTATTAAAAAATTTGATTGGGATTTCCTTTAGTTTATAGACTTAATTTAGGAATGAATTGACGTCTATATACTCTTGAGTCGTTTTATTTATGAACATGGTATGCATTTCCATTTTACAAAGTTTATTGCTATTGTTTAATCATAACTTTTTACTTTTTAACTGATCATTTTCTGTTTGTTTATAAGAAAGATACAGATTTTAACTAATCTGTTTTATAACCAGCTATCTTACTTCACTCTTATTAATTCTAATAAATTTCAATTGGTTTTCCAGGTAAATGGTAATATCTATAATAAAGAAAACATTTTTTCTACTATTTCTCTTTATCTCATTGAAGTATGTAGAATTTTGGTAAAGAATATTAAGTGATAGTGGTCATATTGTCCATCTTGCCTTCATCCTTGCTGTTATGGTAATGCTTCTAGAATTTTATGGTCAAATATATTATTTTTTATCATGTTAAGGAAATCCTATATAATAAAAGCCTAATATGCAAATTGTCCCCTTGGGCGGTTGTTTGGGAGTTCGACTGCTTGTTATGATGTGCACTGACTACCAGGGGGCAGCGTGGAACATGGCAGGGGTCGGTGACAATGTGCTGGCATCAGTGGGCAGTGGAGACACTGCTGGCCCCAATGGGCCACAACGAGAGTGGGACTGTGGCAGGATGGTGGAGCAGGTGAGGGGCAATGCCAGACCAAGGTGGGTGTGAGCAGAGGCCAAATCGCCCCGCTGATCACCCCGCAGACAGCGACCAGTGGTGGCAGGGGGCAGGGCTGCCGCCCAGCTCCCAGGCTCTGAAACAGCCGGGCAGGGGTCCCGGCTCCGATTGATCAACAGGCAGAAGGGATGGTGGAGCAGGTGAGAGGGCTATGCCAGGCCAAGGTGGGGTGCCAGGCGGGGCTGCAGGACTGTGAGGCTTGGGGCATGAGCTGGGCTCCAATCCCAGCAGGCCAACTGAGGGTTCACACCCATGCAAGAATTCACTCTCTGAACCTCTAACATATGCTAATCTTTAAGAGTTGCTTTTATTTAGAAATTGATGTTGAATTTCTATCATTTTTTCTCTTTGTTCTATGGATAGAATGAAATTTATTTAACACATATCAGTAAAATGGAATAGTATTCCTATGAAGTCCATACATTTTTTTCATAATTTTTTTCTTTATTGATTAAGGTATTACATATGTGTCTTTATCCCCCTGTTGCCCCCCCGCTACCTCCCCACTCATGCCCTCACCCTCTGTTGTCTGTGTCCATTGGTTAGGCTTATATGGATGCATACAAGTCCTTTGGTTAATCTCTCCCCTTACTACCACCCTCCGCTACCTTCCCTCTGAGGTTTGACGGTCTGATAGATGCTTCTCTGTCTCTGGATCTGTTTTTATTCTTCAGTTTATGATGTTCATTATATTCCATAAATGAGTGAGATCATGTGATATTTATCTTTCTCTTACTGGCTTATTTCAATTAGCATAATGCTCTCCAGTTTCATCCATGCTGTTTCAAATAGTAAGAATTCCTTCTTTTTTACGGCAGCATAGTATTCCATTGTGCAGATGTACCACCATTTTTAATCCACTTATCTGCTGATGGGCACTTAGGCTGTTTCCAAATCTTAGCTATGGTGAATTGTGCCATTATGAACATTGGGGTGCATATACCCTTTCTGTGTTTATAGTTTCTTGGGATATATTCCTAGAAGTGGGATCACTGGGTCAAATTGGAGTTCCATTTTTAGTTTTTTGAGGAAACTCCATACTATTCTGCATAGTGGCTGCACCAGTCTGCATTCCCACCAGCAGTGCAAGAGGGTTCCTTTTTCTCCACATTCTTGCCAGCACTTGTCATTTGTTGATTTGTTGATGATAGCCATTCTGACAGGTATGAGATGGTACCTCATTGTTGTTTTGATTTGCATTTCTCAGATGATTAGTGACTTTGAGCATGTTTTCATATGTCTCTTGGCCTTCCTTATGTCTTCTTTCGAAAAGTATCTATTTATGTCTATTGTCCATTTTTTGATTGGGTTGTTTATCTTCCTTTTGTTAAGTTGTCTGAGTTCCCTGTAAATGTTGGAGATTAAACCCTTATTGGATGTAACATTGGCAAATATGTTTTCCCATGCAGTGGGCTTTCTTGTTGTTTTGTTCATGGTTTCTTTTGCTGTGCAAAAGCTTTTTATTTTGATGTAGTCCCATTTGTTTATTTTCTTGTTTGTTTCCATTGCCCTAGGAATGGTATCAGTAAAGAAATTGTTTCAGCATATGTCTGAGATTTTGCTGCCTGTGGATTCCTCTAGTATTTTTATGGTTTCCTGTCCTATGTTTAAGTCCTTCATTCATTTTGAGTTTATTTTTGTATATAGTGTAAGTTGGTGGTCTAGTTTCATTCTTTGCATGTATCTGTCCAATTTTCCCAACACCATTTATTGAAGAGACTGTCTTGATTCCATTGTATGTTCATGCCTCCTTTGTCAAATATTAATTGAGCATAGTGGTTTGGGTGGATTTCTGGGTTCTCTATTCTATTCCATTGATCTATATGTCTGTTCCTGTGCCAGTACCAGGCAGCTTTGAGAACAGTGGCTTTGTAATACAGCATGATATCTGGTATTGAGATCCCACCTACTTTGTTCTTTCTCAGGATTGCTGCAGCTATTCGGGGTCTTTTTTAAAATTCCAGATGAATTTTTGGAGCTTTCATTCTACTTATGTGAAATATGCCTTTGGTATTTTAATAGGGAGTGCATTGAATCCACTGATTGCTTTGGGTAGTAATCTATGGACATTTTGATGATGTTGATTCTACCAATCCATAAACATGGTATGTTCTTCCATCTGTTTATGTTTTCCTCTATCTCTTTTTTAAGTGTCCTGTAGTTTTCAGAGTACAGGTCTTTTACCTCCTTAGTTAAGTTTATTTCTAGGTATCTTAATTTTTTTATTGTGATGGTAAATGGGATTGCTTTTTTAGTCTT